GATGAAAGACTTGGGTGCTCTCAGATGCCACATTTCCTTGGTGGAGGTGGGTGTGTAAGTCCTTCCCCTTGAAGGAACAGAGCCTGAGCAACCCTGATGGTTTCTCCGTTGCACATAATATAGAAACTATACTTACCTGACAAAAATATACATATTTTCCAAGCTCATCCATGCTTGATGGGTGCCGGAGTGATGTTTGCTGCCAAACCTCCTTCCTGTTTGTGGTGGCTTTGCTGGTAGCAGAGATGAGAGAGGATCTGGGGAGAAAGGGAGGATCTCCATACCAGCAGGTGAGTCAGGGCCAGGGAAGGCATCATTAGAAGATGCGTGGGAGATAACAGAGGGTGCAGGAAGTTGACTGCAGAGGTTGTGGGTTCCCAGGAGTAGGAGAAGCAAGCAGCTGGGCTGTTGGTGGGAGTAGGGATGTGGTGAAAGCCTCCTTGGTGGGCTTCATGGTCTTCCCCACCAGATCCCGGAGTAACCCAAGGTCAGGCAAGGAAGCTGCCACCACCCTGAAGGCGATGAGGCACAAGACTGTAATACCCTGAGACACTTCTCATTCCCATAAAGGAAGATTTTCTCCTAGGTCTTTATCCTGAGGACTAGAGACAGATGTTCATAGAGTCTTTCTTAGTCCTACTAACCCAGAACTGCTGGCACCTCTACTAACACTGGTGGTGATTTACACCTGGTGAAAGCTGACTCACAAGGTGCTTTACCAACAGGGTAAGAACTACCCGGTTCAGGGGAGGAAAACTGAAGCAGAGAACTGACAGCTTTCATCTATTATCACCAGCGACAGAGCCCTGGTCATCCAAACCCAAGTCCATTGAGTCATGCTGCCTTCCAAACCTCTCCAGCCAAGTGTTGGGCTACCAGCCCCATGGTGGTACCTGCCCTGGCTCTGACAGAACTGGCTTGTGCGGTGCAACCACCACGGCTCAGTGTGGTGCCCAGCCTGCTCTCGTCAGCCTTGTTTTGAACGAAAAGTGTACCTGGGAAAAGAGTGCTAGCTCTCCAGCTTGCCTAAGGCATGGCTTTCTTCCAAAGCCTCTTAGTTTTATTCTCCTTCTTGTTACTACTTCATTACAGGCAGTCTTCTGGGGATATAGCTTGCTTAAAAGTTAATGGTGTCAATAAAACTCCTGTATGGAACGTAACACCGAGTGATGAAATGGACAAGTTGTAGAATCATAGAATCACAGAATCACAGCATGGTTTGGTTGGAAGGGACCTTCCAAGGCCATCCAGCCCAGCCCCCTGCCACGAGCAGGGACATCTTCAGCTCGATCAGGTTGCTCAGAGCCCCGTCCAACCTGGCCTGGGATGTTCCCAGGGATGGGGCATCCACCACCTCTCTGGGCAACCTGGGCCAGTGTCTCACCACCCTCAAAGTAAAGAATTTCTTCCTTCTACCTAGTCTGAATCTCCCCTCTTTTAGTTTAAAACCATTACCCCTTGTCCTATGGCTACAGACCCTACTAAAATCTGTCCACATCCTTCTTCTAAGCCCCCTTTAAGTACTGAAAGGCCTCAATACGGTCTCCCCGGAGAGACAAACTGGAAGAGGGCCTTGCTCTTGTCCTCCATTCAGCACCCTGGATTTTCCACACCCCTCACCGTAATGCCAGCGGAATTCCCCTGCTTCTTCTCCCAACCCACTGGTTAGAAATTCCCTCCCACTGCACCCCTCTAAGCAGCACTGCAATCCTCTGGTGCCATTAATATCCACAATAAGGGAGTATGGAAAAAAATCCCATTTGCAACCAGAGGAAGAGAGAGATATTTCTGGGTTACTGGAATAATTCCTGGCCAGCCGTGCCTCTGCAAAATGTGCTTATCAATGGTTAATTTGAAATCGTTCTCCAGCAAACCCAGAGTTATTGATGTCCCTGTCAGAGATGCTTTCTGCAGAGGCATCTGACAGGATCCGCCCTGCCTGGTGTGGAAAGACATTCTTCATCACCCATCTCAAGTCCTTGTGATACCTCTGACAGCTCTTGGCTCGGCCTCCTCAGCAGCTTGACCTTTGCAAATGCCCATGTGTTTCCTTGGGGCTAGATCAGTGGCAATCCTTTAAATTGGTAATTTGTTCTTACCTGGGTAATGATACTTTGAATTTCTAAGGCCTCTTTAACCCAAAGATGTAGCTGTGAATTAAATCAGGGCAGGAAAATAATGAATTACATCCAGATAGCCTCATTATTTGGCTGAGTTATGAGAAATATGGGAAATTAGGGATATTATTTTAAGGACACAGGAGGTCGAGGAGAAAATCCAAATGTTCTGAGTCACATCTTCTCATTTGCAGTAGGGAAAGCGGCATCAGAGCTGGATTGCAACCCATATGTAGCAAAGCAGCCTTTATAAACCCAGCCCCCCCAGGAGCCCAGCCCCGTCCTGTTTCAGACCTCTGCTGAGTATCAGTGAATTTAGCTTTGACTTGAAAACAGCCTTGGCACCGATTGCTGCTCTGGATACAAATGCCCTTCTAAAAATATCTGAGAAGTGGGGGAAGGATCCTGTCCCCGCACTCAGTGTTTCAAAACCAGCTTCTTCTCTTGCCATAGCAAAGCATTGCTTCACCTGTGGGTACCATGCTCTTAAATTTGATTTATAGTCATATGTAGGAGACAGTCTTGACATCTTTGTGCTGTCTCTTTTGCCGTGAACTTCCTGGCTGGCCGCATTCACGTCCCGTCGCCTCAGTTTCTCTCTAGTTTTTCAGCCAGGCTAGCTCATCCTATAAGATTTGGGTGGAGGAGGAACCGCTGGAGCCCCACGTCCAATGACACCGGCCCCCCAGGCACGGACAGACATCTCTGTGCTCAGGAAGGAGGGCAGAGCTGCTCGCTCAGGCTCTGTCAGGATGGGAATAAAGACCTTTTCTGTCTCCAGTCCTTGCTTCTACAGTAGGTCTATTATTTGTTTTTTTAAAGGAGGTCTATTTGCTTTCAAGTCAACTGCAGCCCGGCCAAAATAATGATCTCTCTGACTCTGGCAGGAAGATTGTTGACCCAACTGTTTTAAGGGTTTCTTTTCATGCAGGAGCCCCTGTTGGAGCATCTAAGCACTTGATGGCCACGGTGGCATTTTGCAGGTCAGTTCCTAGAAACCTGCTAAGGCCATCACTGTGTCTCCATCCTGGGAGACATTCCCAACGTCCCACCTGTGTCAGAAGTACTTGGGGAAGAAGAAAGGAATTACCTTCTCTAGTTGATTTTTTCAGTATCTATCTGTATGTATAACTGATCCTTCCACACAGGGGATGTATAATTTGAGCAGAACACAGTACGTTGAATTTTGCCTTCAGCTACACTCTGCGAAGCCGAGATTTGCTCTGAGGTGCTGAGGGAGCGCAAGCTACCAGCACACCACAGCTACAAGCACGGTTCTTTGTAAATATTCTATATTCCCCCTTTGGAGCAGCAGGTTTCCATAATTACTAAGCCATTTTAAAGGCTATTGCTAGGCGAGGGCAGCGTTTGGCACAGCATCTTTTTGGTTGCAGTTTGTGCTCTCCAATATCTTTGTGTCCCCGGCTGCTCTTTCCGTCTCTTTTCCTGGGACAAAAATCTTGAGGCTGGAGCATTTCCCACTGGCAGAGATCCACCAGTTCCCACTGAATTGGGAGGGAGCTGAGGGAGGCTCTTAACATCTTCCCAGAGATGCTCGGCGCTTTCCTCGGAACAACCCTGGGCAGATGCTGAGGCAGGACACGGGCCTCCCTGCACGGGTCCCAGCTTCTTGTGGACTCTGTGCTTGGCAGCATGAGGAGCCAGGCAGCCCGCCTCAGTTCCCTCTGCTGAGGCGATGGAGGAACTCCCCTGACGCCTCACTACCTCTCTAAACACACTCTTTTAATAAAGAGCCAATTTAATTTCCCAAGCACTGAGTCATCTCGTGTTATTACCTGGTGTATGGTACCCAAAACAGCAGCCACAGCATCTTTTCCTTGAAAGAAGGATGTTTCCATTCCCTCCTCCAACCCCGGCTTTTCATAATTCCTTTTTTTTTTTTTTTTGTTTTTTTTTCCTTTTAAGCAGAAAACCTTTCTTTCCTGTTTCCCTCCTTTCTAAACTGTGATGGGATTAAGCCAGAAGCGGGGACAAAAGGAGGAGGCCGAGCTGCTGAGCATGCAGATCGGAGGGGCTGGAGGAGCGCGGGGTTGCACCTGCACGGGGACAGGACCAGCAGCTCCACTTTGCTCTTTGGACCTGGAGCTGTGTCAGCTCCTGGAGAAAAGTCCACGGCGAGCGTGGAGCTGCGCTTTCTTCCTGCTGGGACGGGTTAATAATGAACGCGCCCCGGCCAGGGCGACCGTGGAGCTTCCCACCCATGCCAGGCTGGGAGTGAGATGGTTCGTCTTCCCAACTCCACGTTCCCTGGGTTTCCCTTTAGTCACCCTGCTGCCATCCCCCCCCCACTCCCCCAACTCCCCCCCTACCTCCTAGAGGAATTAATCCAGCTCCATCCCGCACTCCTGCAGACACCATGCTGTGCAGGACGGGTCATTTCCCACCCCCCATCCAAAAAAAAAAAAAAAAAAAATCTCAAAATCTCAGGCTGTGCCCTGGCCCAGCACCCGCATGAGCTCCTCCACCAGAGCACCCAGTCCCCAGCCACCCTTCTGCTTCCAGCAAGGCTGGGGGGCGAGCGCCCGGGATGCTGGGGGGTGTCATTCTGCGATGTCAGCGGGCCGAGGGATGCCTTGAGCAGGTTGGGGCAGGGGCGGGATGCACGGAGAGGTCCCACCACGCGGGGCCAGGACCTGACGTGCCCACCCAGGAGCAGGACGTCGCCCACGCCAGCCTGCTCACACCATTAATATTACGGGCCAGTGTTCTCCAAAGAGGCCAATTTGCTACAAATAACGAGCTGAGATGAATTGTTATCCCGTTAAAGCTGACAATCACAATCGCACTGGCATTTCAAAAAATGCTTATTAATGCAAGAGTGGATCCTACTTTTTTCTTTTTTTTTTTTTTTTCTTTTTTTCCTTTCTTTCCTTGACCCTGCTCTCACACATCCGGAACATCCCTGGGAAATCCTGAACCTGGGTGCTCTCAGCTTGGGGCCTCGGGGGGCTGGAGGAGGAGATGACCCAGGGAAAGGGGATGCGGGCAGAGCTGTTGTCTGCCCCGGCGAGCTCCACATGGCAGCTGGAGTGATGCTATTGGTGCTCGGATTAATAATTAAACCGTAGTATGCTCATAGATAAAAATACGAAAATCCAGGCAGTTCCCCTTTGCTTAAAATACGACAAAATAAAAAAAAAAAAAAAAAAAGAAAAAAAAAAAAAGAAAAAAAAAAAAAGAAAAACCAAAACCAAACCTGGAGCTAAATTAACAATGTGCTCTCCCAATTATAGCCACCCTCTGGTGAATATAAGGTTGTCATGGCAACCTGCCCAGCAAACGATACGGCCAAAAATAAAGCACAGCAGGGAGAGAGATCTTCTGAATCTGAATTTGCCGTCAAAGTAGAATTAAGGTTTCTTCAGAGGCCAGCTCTTCTGATTAATTTATGGCTGCGGTTCTTCCGTTGATGTTCATTAACATGATCCATTTATCGCGATGAATGTTGCGGCGTAACTGGAGGGAAAGCAACAAAGAATTCCTGGCTAGAAATAAAGCTACCTCTTGAATCTACCCCAAACAGCAAGAGAAGGGGGGATGATTAGGTGGGTTGGTGTTTTAGAGAGCCTGATGGGGTAAGGAGAAGGCGATATAAGTTGCCTGCAGGAACATTTCCAAGTGGCTTTGGGCAGGTCTGAAGGGGCTAAACAGATCCAGCTGGCTAGGAGGGTGTTTAAAAGGTACGAATTCTGTTTTTTTACATTTCTTGACTGAAGAGTTTTGAGTATTTATACGGAAACGCTTGCCTTATATGGAACCATTTTCATTTCCCTTCTTAAGCTCGGTTTAAACCCCATCTTTTCAAGCTCATCTTTTAAAACTCAGCTTAAAACCCCATCTCCTTAAAGCCTGGATGAATGCTGCTTGGCCGCATAGGAAGGGAGAGGATGCTGAATCCCGACGGTTGCAGCCTGGCCGGCGCCGGAGGCGGGAAAATGAGAATTTACAGCGTTCAATGCAGGGCTGGGGTTAAAAAAAAAAAAAAAAAAATTAATAAAAATAATAATAGTTTTAAAATGACGCCACAAAAGCCAGTCTGATATCCGGACGGTTTGAGGTTGGCGGGTGTCCTCCTCGGTTATCGGGGACACATCCACTGCTCCTGAACCCCACGGATGGTGGCTGGGGAGGGGGGATGCTGGTGAAGAACCCCACGGCTGTCGCGGAGTGTGTGTGTGTGTGGGGGGGTGGGGGTGGATCACGGGCGGGCAGGCCGGGCGCGGACTACATCTCCCGTCAGGGCCGGCGGCGGAGGCGGCAGCGGCTGGTCGGTGCGCGCGCGGCCGCGTCACACCCCGGCGCGTCCCTCCGCCGGAGCCGGGTCTCTCCTGCCGGGCGGGGCCCCTCGTCCCGTGTCCCCGCCCCTCTCCCCCTTGTCCCCCCCCCGCCCCCCCGTGTCCCCGTCCCCCCCGTGTCCCCGTTCCCCCCCCCCCCCCTTTACCCTACCTTCCCCCCCCCCCTTTTTTTTTCCCCAAACCTCAGCGCGGCGCCCATGAGCCTCCCGGCGGGGGTCTGACACCGCCCGGCCCCACTGCTCGGTAAGGCCCGGGGCGGGGGATGACACAGCAGCCGGTGCGGCGGCGGGGAGGGAGGGAAAAGGGGGGGGGGGGGGGGGGCGGGAGAATGAGGGGGGGGGCTTTTGTCTCCGTCGGAAATCATTAACAAAAAAAAAAAAAAAAAAATAATAAATAAACAACCCCACGCGTGCGTGCGCTGTGGGTTACGAGCAGCGTGGCTTGGCTGGGCCGCCCCCCCGCCCTCCGGGGTTGGGTTTTTTAATTTTGCAGCCGGAGCCGGGACGCGGGGATTTGGCCTCCCGGCGGGTTTCGGTAAGCGCCTGGCGTCAGCGGCCTCGTCCCGCGGGGGGTGGGGGGTGGGGGGTGGTTTCTTTTCCCTTCTGCGTCGAGGTGGAGCACCCCCCCCCCCCCCACACACACACACCCCCCGATATTCCCCATTCCTCGCAAAGGCGGGCGGCGGGAAGGGCGGTAGCGGGGGGTCCGGGGCCGGATTCGGGTTCACCGCTCGGCCTCTGGAAGCTTCGTTAGCTTCATTAGCTTCATTAGCTTCGTTAGCCCTGGCGAAGGGCAGGGTTGGCTTTCTCCCTCCAGCGACACCCCCTTTCCACCCCCCCCCCGCGCACCCCTCAGACAAAAAAAAAAAAAAACAAAAAAAAACCAACAATAAGGCGAGGGGGAACCCATCGGATGCAAACCCTCCGCCGGTCCCTCTCGCGATTAAGCGTCGTTCTGTCGTTGTCCCCTTTGCGGCAGAGCCGGGAGGACAAAGCTGCCACCTCGGTATCTTGACCCAGGTGCCACCCTGAGCATCTTTAGGGGACACACACACACACAAGCATCCCCCCCCCCCCCCCCACACCCCCCTCAGGGTGGGATGCTCGCCGAGCCGTGCGGTCCAGAGGTGGGAGCATCTCCCACCTCCTGGGAGGTGCTTTCCCCGCCCGTGACGCAGGGTTGGGTTTGGGGTGTAGCAAGCGGGGACTTGGCAGGGACTACATTTTGTTGTGATTTTTTTTTTTTTTTTTTTTTTTTTACGATTAGCGTTTTTCCTGCAGAGTCACTCCGGTTGCACGTGGGTGACAGCAAGGGACAGCAGATGTTAGTGGCAGCGGGGCAGCCGGGAGTCGCGGGACGTTTTTCACTGCAGCTGCCCCCAGCAATGCTGTGTGTCTGGAGGGAGAGTTGCTGGGTGTCCCAGGGCCTCAAAACTCAGTCCTTGAGAGTTGTTTTTCCATAAAATGAGACTAAGATTCATCTCCCGGGGCTGTTCCCTGCGTCAGGCTCCTCTGGAAGGGGGTGAAGCCCCCACCACAAAGACCCCACACTGGATCAGGTAGCAATCCCATTAGATTGGAAAGGGGCAGGTGCTGTTTCCCAGCTTGAGGAGAAGGGCTGGGGTGCCCCAGGCCTCTCTGGAGACATGGTGGGTCCCCTGAAATAGGCCATTTCCACGTGCCCATCAGTGCCACCTTCACTCCTGCTCCGGTAATCCGTGCTGCTCTTCCACTTCTCAGGTATAGGACTAAGCTTGAAGTCACGGCCTCGTTAACAGAAACGAAAGAGATGGGAGGAAGCAGAGGATACACTGAACTTCCAGGTTGTTTCTCTCAACCCAAAGATACCAAAATAAGACCAGGTGATTTAATAGACCCTCCTTTCCAAAATCTAGGGAGGCTATTTGATGGTGGACCATCCTCTGAGCGTCCAGATGCTGGCAGGGGGTGCCACGTGGGGTGGAGGGCGAAGCATCCCGCCCTGCTTATGGCTTTTGTGACCATGACAAGCAAGTATTCATACTTTGTCTCCAGTGAGTGGGGGAAAAAAAAAAAAATATTGCGTCAATCCATGTTAATTTTCCCTGTAAGGACCGTGAAGGCTTTGCTCTGCCCTTGTTGATCCTGAGGTCCAGGAGCAAAACCTTGTGCTGGATTTTATTCCCTCAAGCCTTGAGTAAAACTTGTAGGCTGTGGTTTCCCCGCATTAAGTGTGTTATCTTTGGCAGAGACGTGCGGTGTCTGTTTTGGGAAAGCTTGGGTTGTGCTTGTATGTAAAGCTCTGTCCGAGCCCTCCTTGCGATGTGGGTGCTGCACCAGAGCTCTGCGAATTTAAGCTGTTGTGGTTAAAGTGTTGTGGGACTTGTCCAGCTCTTAGGAAGCTTTTTTTTTTTTTCTAATCATTTGTAAGATCTCAGGTTCCTTTTAAAGGAAAGCAGAGGAGCAGTGGTTGTGTGGTAAAGGTGACATGGGGATACAACTTGTCTCAGGAGAGCTGAAATGTAGAGCCCAGTACTCAGGAGCTCCTTGCCTAGTGGGGGAGTGGAGAAACCATTTGTGGAGGTGGATTGAACACCAGTTCTGCCTTTGCAGGGGGATGTGGGAAAGGAGTGATTTACCTGAGGGGCTTGGCTGTCTGGAAGAGAAGAATACCCTTTATTTGCTCTCTGAACATCCTCACTTTGTGGGGAAGTGCTCCATTGAGTTCACTCTAATTTGGTGTCCTGGTGAGGACAAATTTTGCTACGCTGACTCTCCTCTTCCTTTTAAGTTTGTTTCTTTCTCTCCCGTTTCTCCTTGAAGCCATCTTTGCTGCTGCTTGGTCATTTCCTAGCAGGACTGGTGTGAAATTGCAGTAGTTATTACTGGTTGAATTTTTGCCCAAAGATCTCTGCAGGGCAGCAAGAAGACCCTCCTAGACCTTACCTAATTTCATGTTCTTGCTGTCCAAGTGAGTCTTTAGAGTCCTGTGTATTTGTAAGGAGCTACACCTAAAAGTATAGCAAGACTCTGTGGTTTCTAGAAGCTGGGCGCAGCCAATGAACTATTTCAGGAGCTGTTTGGGGTCACATTTAGCATATTGCTTGACTGTTTCAGTGGACCAATTAAATATTGCCAATGATTTCGTTGTTCTTCAGTTTGGCAGAAGCATTACGATATTTACATTACACATGCCATTGTTAAGTTTCAGAGTTAACAGTCTGCTGCTCTGTTTGGGGTAGCTCATGGTCTTCATCAGACTGGAGGAGAAACAACTGTTCCAGTCTTGGAAAACTGGAAGTGCTGAGGCTTCTGAATGAGTAATCTGCATAAATACTTTGGGATGTTTTTGTGAAACTCCTTGGAGAAGGTGCAGTTCTGCTACCTGAGTATAATTAGTGCATTACTGAGTCATCTGAAATAAAGAGCTGGTGTAGCTAACCAATCATTTTGTGCTTGTTTGAAAGACTGGCTATTTTATTTTTATTTATCTATATACATGTGTGTGTGCATATATATATATGTATACTTGTTTACAACATAGATGCCCTGCTACTGATCCTAAGAGAAATATGTTACCAGATTAGTTCAGACTGAAATGAAGATGACACTGGATGTTCTCAAAACTTTCGTGCATTTAACCATCAACTTTCCAGCTGAAAAGAGAGGTTTGGTTTCTTTCACGTCTGCCTTGGGCTATGGCATGGTCAGTCTTGTCTCGCTGGACTCTGTGTCATCATTGCTGTTCTTCTGCAATGTAGAGGTATCCCGACAGTTTCCGGGAATGGGGATGGTGTCTCTGTAATGGATTTGAGTTCTTTGTTGTTTTGAGTTGGCTTTCAGAGGCTCCTTTGAGGTAGTCCATGGACCCCTGAGGCTTTAGGGACCACGGGTTGACTTGGGGTAGTCTCACGCTTACTTCAGAAAAGCCATTGCTCCTCTCTTCTCTCCTGCAGAGACAACCTTTGGCCTCCCCTTTTTCCCAGGCACACAACAGTTGTGGTACAGGAGAAGAAAAACCTGGTTTCTTAGGTGGTAGGAGGAGCTGTGGTGACACCACTAAACTGCTGCTTCTGCTATCTCTGCAGGACTGAATCCTGCCGCGCCTGTTGTCCAGGAGCCTGCTGCAGGAGTATTTCATAATGTGCAGCTATTTATCGAGGGCGTCTCCCCTGTGGCCACCAGCACTAGCTCTCAGCTTCTCCTCCTTCCCCATCATGGTTGCGTCCACCACGCTGCTGGGTGGTGGTGGAAGTCATCTAAATCTCTTGGGTGGCAGGACAGAAAGGGTTATGGGTGGGCTGTCCACGGTGGAGATGTCCCTGGGATGGGGAGTGGAGGTGGGCAGCTGTTTGGTGTGTCACGTCATGCCCAGGTGACCTGAGGATGCACACGGGTGCCCACAAGCTTCTTGTTTCTCACCAGTGATTTTAATTTGTCTTAATGCAAAAAAAATCCCCAAAACAAAACAAAAAAAAATAAAAACAAAAACACCAAAACGCAACCAACCTTCCACCTCCCTCGGGAGCTGGCCTGGCTTGCTGGGACTGGTTTGTACAGCCTGCACCGCCCCAGGAAGGCTTCACCACCACTGGAGCCTGCCCTGTGCCAAAGCAGAAGCTACAGGGAGACACACAACTGCCACCAGCTTCCTCAGCCACCTGCAGCGGGGAACTGTTAGCAGGGTTTGTAATCAACTCTGAAAAATGCTTTTGAACTGATGAAATCCTGGAGGAGCTGTGTGCTTGGGTTGAATTCACCAGGACCTTGGGAAAAGCTTGGGAGAAGCTGGTGTTCACAACCAGGCTGTTGCTACCCCTCTGCTGCCGGTTGCGTTGGATGGTAGCTGGTGTGGGAGGCGAGCGGCGGGGTTGGCAAATGTTTCAGGGGTCTCGGTGGTCACAAGCACTGAGCATCTCGTTTGTGAAGCCGGCCAGCATGGAGCTGGTCGTGGGTGGCACAGCCTTCGTGGGTGAGATCGGGGCTGGCACGGTTGCTTTGCAGAGCTGGGCTCGTCCATGGCCGTGCCTGAGAGCTGCTCTTCCTGCTGCACGGTCCATGGATTCGTCATTTTGGGGGCCACCAGCTTCTGCGGGTGGCTTTGAAGTGTGTTCAGGTCTGCCAAGCCATATCTTAGCGCTCGCTAATGGGGGATCTTGCAGGAATAATCGTGGAGTGAATTTTAAAGGATTTTTCTGTCCTGCAGAGAAGTGTCTGCTCTAGTCACTGGCAGGACTGTGGTGTAGTCTCGGTCCAGCCAAGCCAGCCCAAAGCAGAGATCTGCAAGTACTATTTTGCTATAGGGTGATGA